TTTTAAAATAAAATCTACAGAAGCTATGGAATTTTGGGAATGTTTCAGTACTGATAGAGTTTTGCATTATCTAGTCCAACTCCTTTATTCTATAGATGAGCAAACCAAGAATAACCATTTTTCCTGGGAATCTGACATCGTTGTTGATTGCTATAGAGTAGATTCCAACTCTTGGCAACCCCATGCATGCAGAATAGAACTGCTCCATAGAGTTTTCAAGGCTGTGACCTTTTGGAAGCAGATCACCAGGCCTATCTTCCAAGGTGTCTCTGGATGGATTTGAACTGCCAACCTTTCGGCTAATAGTTGAGTGCTTAACTGTTAGTGCCATGCAGGAATTCCTCACAGTGACATTATACCCTTTTTAAAGAGAATCATATTAATACAGAAAAGCAAAGACAAGAGTCCAAAATGGGATGAAGCAGAAGAAACAAAGAAAGTGACCAGTTATTGAGCCTCTATGATGTGCCAGGCATAATGAGCAGGGTTAGAAGGGGGTAACTCAGGGAGGTGGTGGCAGGGGTATTGCTACAATGACCTGACCTTACCTTGTAGTGACTGATGGCCTTTTCAATGGTCAGCTCCCGATGAGACTGGTGCTCAAGGCACTCCTGGCACTTCAAGCACAGAAGAAGGCAGCTCTCTTCACAGAACAAGCTCACCCTCTCCTGGTGGGTCTGGCAGATGTAGCCTTCCCCCAGCACCTTCTCGGAACAGGGAGCCCGGCAGACGGGGCAGACGGCTTCCGGGGGACAGTCCTTCAGGTAATGGGCCAAGCACTCTCGACAGAAGAGGTGTCCACAGTCAGTGTTCACAGCCTCCTTCAGGTGCCCCTGGCAGATGGAGCAGAGGCCCTCCTCTTGGCTGTCCTCCTGCAGAGGAACCATGCCCTCCACCCCACCCGAACAGCCTCCTGCCTGCAGGGCCTCCTTCCTCACTGGAAGGCCTGCCATACCAGACAGTCCCAGATAAGATAGCTCAGCTGGAAGGAGGCAGCCCTGGAGCAGCCGAGAGGACATGACTCAGCCCACAAACTTCAGGCAACTGCCCACTCTCCATCAATGGAGCTGTAGCATGGACCATCCAAACCTAGATTCTGCACAAGTTTCGGAAATACCTCGTCAGCTTTGAAATGCACCCTCCAGTTTTCTTGCATTTGCTAAACTTGAAATCACTCTTCAGTTTTCATAGAAGATGATTAAAAATCAATTGTATTTTCCTTTCAAGAGCTTTTTGTGAATATTTTTACAGCTCAAAATTCAAATGCCAGAGTATCATGGCCAGAAGCCAGAGTATTATAAACCTACAAGTTGAAAGCCTTGTCTGATTTGCTCTCTGTCAAGAGAATTTGGCAAGAGTTTGGAGTGTCCTCTCCCAAACTGTGATACTAGATGGCTTGTAGTCACATTCTAAGAATTTGATTAACTGCTGTCATTTATTAATACCAACCATTTGCATCAGCATCTCTGTTAGCTAGTCATTTTCCCAACCAACATTCTTTCCATGGCTGCATGGATTTCACAATGAGAGGGAAAGGAAAAGAGCACAGGACATAGAGCAAACCAGAGATATGTGTACAGTATGAAGCCACCTTGTCCCTCCCTTTCAAACTACCTCCAAAGATGATCCAAATAAGAAAGTATCCCCAACTTCCCTTAAAGACTAGGCCATCACTCCCATTCCCTCACCTTACACCTCTTACCTAGTTCCCCCCTGAAAATCTCACTTAGTATCCTACCTCCATTTCTCCTGCTACAATTTCAGGTCTTTTTCACAGGCTCCAGACCTTGGGAGATGGCCAGCAGGTGAATGATTCTTTTAAATTGTGCTAGTCATATATGCTCGCATGTCCGTGAAAAACTGGGGGATGAGTGAAGAGGCCCACCCTCTCCGAGAAGCGCTGAATTACCAGGAAAATAAAACTCCCCATTGACTGGATTGGCTTACAGTAACTGGAGGGTGAGGTGGACTTTGGTTAGGACAGGGTGTTGGCTTGCTTGCTCATGGGGAGGAGGAAAGTCTTGGCACCTTCGATGTAAATATGACAGGATCTGAGAGTCATATGATCAAGAACCAATGGTACTGAAGGAAGATATGCAAGGTACACTGAAGGAATGGTGCAAGCAAGGCTTCAGAAATTGACAGAATACCTGTTGAGATGTTTCAACATATAGATGCAGCACTGGAGGTGCTAATCCATCTGTGTCAAGAAATTTGGAAGACAGCTTCTTGGCCAGCTGACTGGAAGAGACCCATATTTGTGCCCATTCCAAAGAAAGGTGATCCAGCAGAATGAGGAAATTATCAACCAATATCATTCATATCACACACAAGAAAATTTTTTGCTGAAGATCATTTGAAAGCAGCTGCAGCAGTACATTGACAGGGAACTGCCAGAGGTTCAAGCCAGATTCAGAAGAGGACGTAGAATAAGGGATATCATTGGTGATGTCAGATGGATCTTGGCTGAAAGCAGAGAAGAACAGAAAGATGTTTACCTGTGTTTTATTGACTGTGCAAAAGCATTCACCTGTGTGGATCATAACAAGTTATGGATAACACTGCAAAGAATGGGAATTCCAGAACACTTAATTGTGCTCATGAGGAACCTGTATATATACCAAGAGACAGTCTTTTGATCAGAACAAGGGGTTACTGTGTGGTTTAAAATCAGGAAAGTTGTGTGTCAGAGTTGTATCATTTCACCATACTTATTCAATCTGTATGCTGAGCAAATAATCAGAGAAGCTGAACTATGTGAAGAAGGATGCGACATCAGGATTGGAGGAAGACTCACTAACAATCTGCGTTATGCAGATGACACAACCTTATTTGCTGAAAGTGAAGAGGACTTGAAGCAGTTATTGATAAAGATCAAAGACCACTGTCTTCAGTATGGATTGCACCTCAACATAAAGAAAACAAAAATCCCCACAACTAGAACAATAAACAATATCATGACAAATGGAGAAAATATTGAAGTTGTCAAAGATTTCGTTTTACTTGGATCAACAGTCAACACCCATGGAAGCAGCAGTCAAGAAATCGATCACATATTGCTTTGGGCATCTGCTGCAAAAGACCTCTTTGAAGTGTTAAAAAACGAAGCTGTCTCTTTGAGGACCAAGGTGTGCCTGACCCAAGCCATGGTATTTTCAATCACCTCATATGCATGTGAAAGCTGGACAATGAATAAAGAAGACCAAAGAAGAATTGATGCCTTTGAATTATGGTGTTGGTGAAGAATACTGGATATAAAATAGACTGCCAGAAGAACTAACAAATCTTTCTTGGAAGAAGTACAGCCAGAATGCTCCTTAGAAGCAAGGACGGTGAGACTTCATGTCACATACTTAGAACATGTTATCAGGAAGGATCAGTTCCCTGGAGAAGGACATGTGAGGATCAGCGAAAAAATGGAAAACATTCAATGAGATGGATTGACACAGTGGCTGCCACAATGGGCTCAAGCATAGCAAAGACTGTGAGGATGGCACAGGATCAGGCAGTGTTTCATTCTGTTGTACATAGGGTTGCTATGAGTCGGAACTGACTCGATGGCACGTAACAACAACAAGAACAATGAAGCACCATATAGTTTTCCAAGATGGTAGTATCATTTTGCATTCCCACCAGCAGTGCATAAGAGTTCCAATCTCCCCAAAGCCTCTCCAACATTTGTTATTTTCTGTTTTTTTGATTAGTGCCAGTAATGCCAGGGTGAGACGGTATCTCATTGTAGTTTCGATTTGCATTTCTCTAATGACTAGTGATTGAGAGTATTTGCTTATGTGTCTGTTAGCCACCTGAATGTCTGCTTTGGTGAAGTGTCTGTATATATCCTCTGCACATTTTTTAATTGGGTAATTTGTCTTTTTGTTGTAGAGGTGTTGTATTTTCCTATGGATTTTAGAGATTAGATTTTTGTTGGTTATGTCATAGCCAAAATTTTCTTCCCAGTCTGTAGGTTCTCTTTTTACTCTGTTGGTGAAGTCTTTTGATGAGCGTAAGTGTTTAATTTTTAGAAGATCCCAGTTATCTAGCTTATCTTCTGGTGTTTGTATGTTGTTAGTTATGGTTTATATCCTATTTATGGTGTATATTAGAGCCCCTAGTGTTGATCCTATTTTTTCTTCTATGATCTTTATAGTTTTTGGTTTTATATTTAGGTCTTTGATCCGTTTTTAATTAGTTTTTGTGTATGGTGTGAGGTATGGGTCCTGTTTCATGTTTTCACAGATGGACATCCTGTTTTGCAAGCACCATTTGTTAAAAAGACTGTCTTTTCCCCATTTGATGGACTTTGGGCCTTTGTTGAAGATCAGGTGGCTGTAGATAGATGGATTTACATCTGGGTTCTCGGTTCTGTTCCATTGGTCAATGTGTCTATCATTGTACCAGTACCAGGATGTTTTGATTACCATAGTTGTATAGTAGGTTCTGAGGTCAGGTGGTGTGAGGGCTCCTACTTTGTTCTTCTTCTTCAATAATGCTTTATTTATCCGGGATCTCTTTCCTTTTCATATAAAGTTAATGATTAGATTTCCATCTTGTTAAAGAATGCCATTGGTATTTGGATCAGGATTGCATTGTATTTGTAGACTGTTTTGGGTAGAACTGGCATTTTCACAAAGCTGAGTCTACCTATCCATGAGCATGGTATGTTTTTCCATTTATGTAGGTCTCTTGGTTTCTTGCAGTACTGTTTTGTAGTTTTCTTTGTATACGTCTTTTATGTCCCTGGTTAAATTTATTGCTAAATACTTTTTTAGGGGCTATTATAAATGGTATTAAAAAGCTCAGAAATTCTTGTTGAAAACTTCACCCTATGACCTCCTCCCTCAATCCCATTTTACCACTGTCTGCTGTGGGGTTGCCACTAAAACATGGCTTTCTCTGAAGTCACAGTTGCCTGGTTTCTTCTCAAAGGAAATAGCTTCATTTTCTACATCCTTGGAATCTCAGGGTAATGGGTGGGATGGGCACCTTCCTCACTCCATGTGACCACTTCCTGACCATTACTTACCCAGACACTTATAAAAATACCAGCATGTGGGAGTTCTTGTTGTCCACTCTCTACCTCTTCCGTACTGCCCTCAGATGCCCACAAAGCCACACCCCTTCATTCATGGAGGATGGGGGCACCACGCTCAGAGGCTTTTCTCCACCCCATGTCCTGCCATCATCCTGGGTGATTTAAAGGACTGTGTAGATGATCATCCAATACCGAGGCCCCTTAGTTCCTTGACCTGCTCACATCTGATAACCTTTACTTCTGTCACCCACCCCACTGGCCACCCTCTGGGTCTTGTCAGAATCCAGATTTCACCATCTGAAACCACAAATCTATGTATTGCACTCACCCTCACAGCTCTCTCCTTAAGTTACTCACTGCATCATCTGTTCTTCAACCTTGAACCCTTGACTTCTTCACATCTTACATTTCTGTCATGTCTTGTGGGATAATATGAAAAATAGAATTGTAGAGAGATTAAGTAACCAGCTCAGGGTCACAGAGGAGTAAACATACAGTCAGGATTCAGATGTGGACATCTGTCATCTTGGCTCCTGTGCTTAATCACCACAGAATATCATCTCGCTTCACATTTTTCCATGCCCTTAGAAAGAATTCAGTAAAGGCCTGATAAATGAACAGACGAATATACGGATGGGTAGGTAGATTGATAACTGGATGGACAGATAAATAGCACTTTGCACCACCTCAGAGCACTGATCATATGCTAACTTTACTACATTTATTTAAGTACTTTTCTTGATTTTCCTACTGGCTATTGAGCAACTTGAAGGCAGGGACCCACTGTATTGAAGAAACACTTGCTAAAGTATGATTCAAACATAGAAGTCATAAAAGGAAAGACAGATTCAG